CAGCAGTTCCTATAAGCCTACTTCCAAAAAAAAAAATAACAGTTAAACAGAAAGAAGACATTTTGACAGCCGCCAAACGGGCCGCCCTGGTATTATGTCATCAAGGCTTAGCTGGCGGTACGATGAGCATGCAAAAATAATACTATTGTGTTATTGCGACTGAAACTGATTCAGTAATGTGGACTATGCGACGAAACACGTTGACTATTGTAAACGCATAGCAGGTCGAACTGTAGATCTAGATGAACTGCCATGAATATCAGCCGGAGAGACAAGACCAGAAAAATGCAGTATCTAATGCTTTTCTTTGAATTCCTGTTGTCACATGTATCGGTGTTCCCTTAACAGCCTACTTTTTTGTGGAAACAAACACTGTTTATAAGAATAAAGACTGTCAAATAGAACTTAATTTGGTGTGTTAGCTTTCCATCAGAATAGATTACGCTTGAAAATTTCGACGCTGACGCCCTGTAACGGAAAAACTCGAACCATCTAACCCCAGTTTTTTTTAATGGTCGTCTCCCCTTTCTTCAATTTTTTAGGAGCAGAGCTGAGCTTCGCGTCCTGGCGCACGTATTCAAGCAGGGTTCGGTAGCATGTACTGTCTTCCTAGAGAACTCTTACGTTGGATCCCCGTTTTGACAGTCATTTTTATCGTTATTTTTGTACTATCATATAATTTTTTTGGCCTAGCATACTGCATCTCTTCATCGTCTCTATTACCGTTTTCTATCGGCACCGTTTTGTCTACACCATTTTGTGTTAAAATTGTATTCTGACCATCATGCATTATTTTCTCCTATATTACGTAAATTGACTACGATGAGCAAGAAACATGTGGATGTGTCTGATGTATGTGTGAAAGTCGAACGTCTTTTACAGGAGTTTTCTGTATTATCATTGCCCGGAATACGACAGTTATCTGTGTCACTGAGCTGTAGGCCGCTGCTCTCAAGGCTACCTGTAGGCCCAGACACTACAGCCGGAGTCGGAAAACGAACCTGGGAAGCAAATTGCTTGACACTTATTGCCTCTTTCCAGACATGAAAAGCATCAGCTTACACGCAATAAGCATCTAAATATTTTCAATGGAGTGGCATTCTTGAGTACACAGCAAAGTTTTGTATTCCAATGCATTAGTTCATTGCAACGAAGCCTAGCGGATCCCTCATATACCATGCTATCGGCCTCGCATTTGCTGTTATGGATTTTTCACATAGTATGAGGGGCTGTAGTCCTTTCGCGCCGCCGCTGATATGGCTCAGCAAAATGAACATAAATTGATACAAAGCCGTAGACCACCAAGATAACCATAAAGAAAATATCAAAAATAACTCACTTGATGAACTAGGATTTGCATCTTCCCATTCTCGAAGTGGACTGTACATGACCACAACAACTTGTTAACGCCAATAAAACAAATCGTACGGAGGGTCGCGGATGTTGATATTGCGGTTACTTGTGTATTATTAGAGTCGCGTGCTCGAGCAGCCATCAAGTAGTCCCTAAGCATCTTACTCAGTGCAGTGCCCTCAACTGGAAAAGGAAAGTCTGAAAAAGAGATGTTCGTGAATAATAGTTCTAGTTGGATCACTTAAGAAATTTAGATCCAGGTTGAGATGCAATACTGCCGCAGAATTGTAACGAACCTGGAATTATTCCGTTGAATCCCTCAAATTCCATGCCTAGCAGATAACGAAAGAGATAGAAAATGACACTTAGCGATAACAACGTACCTCGTTAGGAAAAATATTACACTGGCTTCAAAAAACCTACAGACATATGCAGTTACACAACTTAAATTAGAGCGAGTAACTA